CAAAGGGCATCGCTACTAGGAGCAAGGACGCTACTAGGGGCGCTCCTGGCCTTACTACTAGGAACAAGGACGCTACTAGGAGCAAAGGGCATCGCTACTAGGAGCAAGGACGCTACTAGGGGCGCTCCTGGCCATACTACTAGGAACAAGGACGCATGCTACTAGGAGCAAAGGGCATCGCTACTAGGAGCAAGGACGCTCCTAGGGGCGCTCCTGGCCATACTACCAGTAACAAGGACGCTACTAGGAGCAAAGGGCATCGCTACTAGGAGCAAGGACGCTACTAGGGGCGCTCCTGGCCTTACTACTAGGAACAAGGACGCTACTAGGAGCAAAGGGCATCGCTACTAGGAGCAAGGACGCTACTAGGGGCGCTCCTGGCCTTACTACTAGTAACAAGGACGCTCCAGGGAGTTGTTCCACCGTCCTGCAATGTGCCCCACCGGAATGCCAAAGATCCTCGGCATCGCGGGCACGTAGGACTTCCAGCCGGGCGCAAGGCAACGACTCTCATGGCGACAACATCAACTTTTCAACTAGGTCAGTAGCGTCCTTGCTCCTAGTAGTGAGGTCAGGAGCCCCTAGTAGCTTCTTGTTACTAGTAGTAAGGACAGGAGCCCCTAATAGCTTCTTGTTACTAGCAGTAAGGCCAGGAGCCCCTTAGCCTAGTAGCGTCCTTGCTCCTACTAGTAAGGCCAGGAGCCCCTAGTAGCTTCTTGTTACTAGTAGTAAGGCCAGGAGCCCCTAGTAGCGTCCTTGCTCCTAGTAGTAAGGCCAGGAGCCCCTAGTAGTAGCTTCTTGTTCCTAGTAGTAAGGTCAGGAGCCCCTAGTAGCTTCTTACTACTAGTAAGAATGCTCCTAGTAGCGATGCCAGGAGCCCCTAGTAGTGTCCTTGCTCCGAGTAGTAAGGCCAGGAGCCCCTAGTAGCTTCTTGTTACTAGTAGTAAGCCGAGGAGCCCCTAGTAGCGTCCTTGCTCCTAGTAGTAAGGCCAGGAGCCCCTAGTAGCGTCCTTGCTCCTAGTAGTATGGCCAGGAGCCCCTAGTAGCTTCTTGTTCCTAGTAGTAAGGTCAGAAAAACTTTTAAAAACAAACACTCTTTTCCTCACGCGCCAACTCTCGTTGCAAGCCCTCCCATGCCCAGGAACTTGTCTGCCGAAGTGATCAGTCGCGAGCGCTGAATGAGCCAGTCCTGCGACGAGTCGTTTGCTCGTCTTTGCGGTGATGAACACCATCCAACAGCCAACGTCCGGTGGCCATATTACAGTAAATGGCATCTCCATATATACATATGCACGGTATATATATACCTATACATATAACAATATATATATATATATACCGACGGACTGAAAGATAGAATGCCTGATATTTAGGTTCGATCGGGCTTAGAATGCCTGAGAAAAGGCATTTTTTTTTGGATGGACTTAGAATGCATGCAGCAACTCACTTGGAATGCCGGCAGAATGCCTGCACCAAATCACTTAGAATGCCGACCATAGCAACGAAATCTTGCAGTAATTTCAGGCACGTGATCCCCAATGAATTTCAGGCATTCTATTTTTCACTCCGTCGGTCATAAAATGGAACATTTTATCACAAAATGGCAATGTGAGGAAAAGGAAAGGGGGGGAACGGAAGAAAGCGGACACAACAAGGAAGGAATTTACTGCACATGCTTGTATATATATATATACATATTACAGTAATTTTTTGAGAAACCATCTCTTCCTTGCCACATTGTACCATTGTACATATATGACCATAGAACACCTATCTTCCGTGCCACATGGGCACATCTCATGCCAAGATGCACATCTGTTGTTTGCCAACTTTTTCTACCCGCCCGCATCGTGCTCTTTTGGCGTTTTGCAATGTCTCTTGAGATTTAGGCATCCAATGACCCAAACAAACAAAGATCAATTATATATACATATATTTGTACCGTCGGTATGGAGCAGAAACACAGGCCATGTGTGTACAAGGGACACAAAAAAGATAGACAACACTTAGAATGCCGGTACTTGATCCATGCAGGCATGCAGGGGTGCATCTCTGATTTTGGAACATGCACACTCCCTATGAGAAACTGAGAGCTTTGCACCCGGAGTATATAGATCAATTCATTACGTTTGGCATTTTGCCAGACTTTGTCACCTTTGGCATCCAAACATTCACAGAAAGGGCCACTTAAACATATTGGATTTGGCCAACAAACGCACGCATAGAATGCCAAGAAAACGGCAAGGGCAAGGTCTACCGAGAAGCGGCAATGTCTGAAACATGCTAAAATTCCTTGCAAAACTGCACATATTCTCATACATGTCTCTGCTTTCATCAGGCATTCTAAGTGGGTACCATACTCATTTCCTTGCAAACATGCACATATTCGCGTACAAATCTCTGCTTGCATCAGGCATTCTAAGTGGGTTCCTGATTTTTGATTTAAAAAAAAAAAAAACTTATCAGGCATTCTAAGCCCTATTTTTGGAGGTGGCCCTGAGAAGTTCCCTCAGGCATTCTATCTTTCAGTCCGTCGGTATATATATATATATGCGTGTGTTGTGTGCGCGCTCAATGCTGGTTCAAGTGTATATATATATATATACATATACGCGTTGCTGGTCCTCATCTCGGAAGGCCTCGAAGACCCGGTAGTGCCAAGTAAAGTCCTTGGATCATCTAAAAGGGCACTCAGACGAAGCTAATTATTGCACGCAGGTTTGCTACGGCATCTCTGCCTCGGCTACCAAAGGCTTCCAAGCGGTCCAAGCGTCTGCTTCAGTGAGGAAGGGCATTCTTTCTCGCAGCTTGAGCATTTCGGCCTCGCATGCGTCTGGCAGTCCGACTCTCCAGCTGCCAACTCTGGAGAAACGTGTTTGAACTTCTGCCCGGGCAGAAAAAACCGCCAGAGAAAAGACATCCCAAAATATCCAAAAGCCGGAACTGCAAGCGCTCAACAAAAACTGCTGGACCCTGAAACCAAAAGTTCATGTTGCCCTGAAACTCGTAGGGAACCGCTGAATGTTTGATGACATGTGCCTATACAGGCTCTTTCCATACCTCACAGGCACAACTAAAGTCCCAACGCCCCAAGGGTGTTTCTTGTTTCATCGGTTCAGGACTTCCAGCCGCCTCAAAGCGCTCAAAGCCGCCGTTGCCATTGGTGCTTTGCTCCTTGGCGGCCGCCGCAAACTGGTGCGGTAGGGCGCTTTCAGGCGTAGCCACCTGATGTGGGTGTCGGCAGGAGGGAGTGCTCACAACCACTACAGTGGGAAGAAGTGATCGTTGAACTGTCAAAGCCAACGCCAGGGCAGCAAACACACTCACAAACAAGGGAGTGGCTACCAATGCAAACAATACAAACCGCAGTCTGACTAAAGTTCAGCGTGTGAACTTTGATGCCGATCATCGATGTTAAACTGCGAGTCGTATTAATTATTAGTGAGCTTGAGACTGCCGGAGTGAACAAAAAACATATGGCAGTATTTGGACCATCTTCTCTATACAATGAGGCCTGAAGAAATTGTGTCATGTAGTCCAGGAGTTGCACTCAGCCTCCCAGCCTTGATTTTGAGAATCACATTGTACTTTTTCTCGCGGCGAGTCTGCCTGAAAGGCATCACTTCAACACCGATTGCATGAGGCAAGACATCTCTTTGTGTGTGTGTGTCGAATTTGCACATAGACAGAATTTCCTTGGAATTCAGCCATGCGTACATTGACATAGATAGACAGATAGATAGCTAGCTAGCTAGCTAGGTAGCTAGGTAGGTAGAGAGACAGACAGACGGACGGACGGACGGACGGACGGACGGACAGACAGACAGACAGACAGACAGACAGATAGACAGACAGAGAGATAGATAGATAGATAGATAAATAGGCAGATAGGCAGACAGGTAGGCAGGCAGACACAAAATAAACAGAGACAGAGACAGAGACGGAGACAAAGACAGACAGAAAAAGAGAGAGATGAAAAAAACAACGGGCTTGTCTATCATGTACATATATATATATATGCAATTATATATAGAGATTTATTTTACAAAAAAAACGTATAATATATATATATACTATACATGTGTGACTGTGTGCGTGCGTGCGAGTGTGCTGTTATCAGCCCATTTGGCAAACTCGCACGATTGGTGCAAAGACATGGAATGATAAGGTGATAGGAGCACCGCAATAGAAAGGAACTCATTGCTGTCTTGGACCAATTAAAAACTTAATGCCCAAAAAAAACAGAAATGAGACTAGAAGCAAAAAGGCCTATGGACTGACCAATGCAACTCCAGCAAAGCCATCACATCTACAATAGTTACCATTCTCACAAACCACCAAACTTCTCCCAGCCCCTGACAATAATGCTGGCGTATGTTCCAAGGGGCTCTTCAGTCAACTGCAGAGTTCCCTCAAAGCCAGCAGGCCAAAAGCGCGTGCATTCGAAAACGCAGCTTCCCAAAAGCTCCACATTTTCAGCCTGCTCTGCTCAGCATCTTCACACTCGAAAACTTGCCTGTGTAACCTGTATAGATGTATCTACATGTCGATGTCACTGTGTTATGCAACGCTATAAAATTAGCGGAAATGAAGGGGTGTATCACATCCCTGTAGCTGACACATCCTGGCATGCAAGCCCATTGCCTTGGGCCCATCATAAACAGCAAAGCGAAGCGCCTGCGCAAGCGCCAAGCGCAAACGCACAAACCCCAGGCAGCAGGCTCATATTATGAATATAATATCATTATATAATATATATATATATGCTAGGCCCAGATCTAGGCATGGCAAACATCTACACCTCTCAAGGAACCTGCAGGCCACGTTAACGTTGCGTGCGTGCGTGCGTGCGTGCGTGCGTGCGGGCGGGCGGGCGGGCGGGCGGGCGGGCGGGCGTGCGTGCGTGCGTGCGTGCGTGGGTGTGTGTGTGTGTGTGTGTGACAGGTCGCCCTACGCAAAGGCTTAAAGGAACTACATGTACAATTAAGGTGCTCCAACTGTCCAAATGAGTGACAGGGCATATCCTACAAGAAATGGCGCGTTCTTCTTTGCAGAGTGTCAACCCCTGTGCAGCCTCACCAGGCATGTAATCCACAATCTGCGGTTTCTCGCTTCCAATTGCCACCTTGGTTCATCAATGATCATCAATCCATCTGACTTGATACTGTTCTCAAGCGTGCTCGTAGGCAAGCTGGTACAGAGCGTAAATCAAACTACCAGGTCCCGGGGCTGCATGAAGTGCCCACAGGCTGCGCTAAAGAACTCAAAACCCTTCATTCTTTGCAGCATCACGACTCCAATACTTGTTTGATCTTGTTTGGGTATGCAGTATGCAATCCACGCCCTCTACAGCCCAGTGCTCTGGGTGCCCTGCGAGATCCAAAGACTCCGAGACAGTCTTTGGCCGAATCCGATCGTATTTCGCTTTGTTGTGGATCTCACCTGCCGGCCCGGCGAAGCAAAGCCAAGTCCCAAGACGTTCCTGCAAAACGACAGTGTACCACGTCAAGTCAACTTCCTGGGCCAACATCAACTGCCCATGTTTTTATACATGATTTGGGGAGGCTGGTAATACGCTCGCTGCATTCCAAGTCACAGGTTGAGTACGCCACTGCGTCCTGCAAAAGACGACAAGCTGCTACAAAGCAGAGATTCCCATCTAAACGTGCAACCGAATGCCGTACGACTTGCTATGCCAGCCGCCTTCCAATATGAGGAAATTATATTGAGTGGTGCTTTTTGGGGTGCATGGAAGTATACACTACTGGGGAGCATGTATACGCGAGCGCCTACGCCAGGAGACGAAAGCGTGTGAGGTAGCCTACGCGAGCGTATTCCAATTGAAGGCGTTGTCGACGCATCTACGCGGTCGACTACGCGAGGCCTTTCACACGATGACTTCACGGGTCAAATGCAAAACATGAAAATGAAGAAGACGATCTTGCCTTCTTGAACGCTGACCTTCGGAAGATGGACAAATACAGTACGGGAAGTAGCTTCTTGGTACTACAAGCGTGTGGGAGCTCTGGCCTCAGAACTGGCCACTTGGTGTACGCAGCTTCTGGGAGCTGTAGCCTCACAGCTAGCCAGTAGTACAAGTGCAGTGCGGGAAGCAGCTTCTGGGAGCCTCAGAACCGGCCACTTTGTAGTACAAATGTAGTACGGGAAGCAGTTTCTAGGACCTTTTGATACTGAGAAAGCTTTTTGCACTTGGGTGGTGTGAAGTCGTTCCATGTCTTCACGGTGCGACCATACAAACAGAAACGAAAATGACGACTACATGCTGCTGAAGCCTGAAACACAATCATCTACGCGAGGCCTACACAAGGCATACGCGGGTTTTGCTTGCCTCCTGTCACACTTTTCTAATCTTTTCTACACATGTACAGGTACTGTACACACATTCCCGTAGATGAATGCCCACGGAAGTCTCGGCAGGGCGCACTGAACAGGTTAGCTCAACAACTTCACAACCTCATATTCCTCAAGAGCTACTTCCTGAAACTTCTCAACTAATTACTGCTCCACACAGCCACCAAGCAAGTCAACTGAAGAAACATCCATGGTCCATTGATGGTCCATTGTTCTTTCCATCATGTGTTAAAGGTTGCTGGACTCATGTCAATTTACAACTCACAACTACGCAAGCCTGCCTACGCGAGACACTGCTGTGCTTTCCTACGAGGTTGCCTACGCAAACTTCCGCCCCAAAGCAGAACAGCCTATGCGGCATCAAGAGCAGTTCCACTTTTGTATAAACTCCTTCATAGACAAAATACTGCTACTCTATTGAGGTATACACGGCAAGCAAGTTAAACCATTCTACAATGCATTACAATGCCGCAACCAGTGAGACTGCGAGCGATCCTTGCAACCTTGTCCTACCTTGAAAGTCTGCGGCTCCGGCTACACACGCCAGGAGTTTGTTTGCTGTCTGGGAGTTGTGTGGAACTACTGGTGCTGGTGAGCCGCCATCATGACAAAAGCTCTCGGCTGGGCCCCGCACTGCATTGCGGAGACCCGTGGCACCTCGACAATTCATGAGGGCTCTCGCATTCTGAACCAGCCAAGATTGGTTCACGCATTCACTAAGCTGACTGAGACATGTTGACTCCAGTCCACCTGGACCATGACCTACTGCGAGTATTTCAATGATCAAAAAATATGATTATATACAAGATATTACAAGGCTGACGCTGCCGGGGCTCTTATGAATAAGACCTGCAGCTTCACAGGATGGATCAAGTTCTCATTGCGCTTCTGGACGCATCCTCGGCGAGCCAAAGTTTTGTCACAATGTTATCACCCAAGGACTCACCCTCACCCAAGTCTATAAACCTTCAGGTTTTAAGTTTCAAATGCAATTCGTTGTGTGCGTGCGTCGTCTGCAGGGCTCCATTTGCAGATGATTTGCGTCGTGCTTTTCACATCAGCCCTTCACCTCATTGTTTACCGATGTTTACCGCTTGGCCCTCAGCCACTGCCGCAACAAGTGGAGATTTCACAACCGCAGATGCTCAACGGTTACAGTAAGTTTCCCTACGTGGTCGTCATTGTGTTCTGCCCTGGGTATATCTTGCTGAATCCAGCCATTTAGCAATGAAATCAAGAAATAATCTAGATTCTAGATAAAGCTCGGGTTTCTAGACTGGATGGATTGGCTGGGGGCGCCAGTGGCAGATATGCTCATGGGTCAAGACCGTACGACCCTCGTTGACTTTGAACGAACAAAATGGACCAAAGGGGAGAGGGGAGAGGGGAGGTCAACCGAATTGGTGTGGTGAGGTGTTTGGTACCAACAAAGCCCATCACCATATCCATTGACCATTGTGACCAGTGGCCGGTCATCACCTCTTGGAGCTGCTGAAGGAAGGAAGGCTCGCCGTCGTGGAAGACCTTTTTTGCATCGGAGGGTGGCCCTTCTTTGGGATTGAGCCCACAAGTTGCTTGGGTATCTTGTCAGCTGCTTGGGCCCATCTTGATTTGATCAGCCAATATGTTAGACCAACAGTAGGAGACCATGATCGACCATGAAGGATGGAACCCATGCATCCGCTCAAGAAGTTGATTGCTAGTTACTTCATCCTACTACAGTACTGCGATCCCTTGTCCCTCACGTTTTTGTCAAGGCTTCCTGCCAATCACTCACACAAAACCTGAGCAGTTCGGATGGCCTTCTCAAAGTCAGTCAAGCCGATGCCCCCTTCCCCACTAAGCACCACCTTGGATCAGAACATCTGGACCGGCTTTGCTCATGTCTGTGCCAATAAGGAAAACGAAGAAAGCTTTGCAAAAACAGCAGCTGCCGAGGTGCCCGTACCGTCAAGAAAGAGTTGGTCTTTTGCTTCATGTTCTCATCTTGGTAAAGAGGCAGCTCACCTGGCATCATGCAAAGCCATGAGTTGTTTCTCTAGACTCCAGTGACTCCAGCGACTCTAGTGTTTTTGAATTGTTCCGACGACACCAAGGACACCGGAATCCGGGAGGCTACTAGCAGCCTTACTGCTGCCCAGCATCAAGATACAGAAATGTTGTTACTCACTCTGATCACACACGTGCAGCAAATGACCTGCATTTTGCCTGGCCTTCGACTCCCCGGTATATGGGGAAAAGAACATGTGAAATGAAAGCTTTCCTTCTGGGTCGCTCACCATCGAAGACAGAAGTCTGGAAGCGGCTACTTGGCAGCATTGCAATCCCAAGAATGTCATCTTCCTGCCATCGCGCCCGACAAGCTTCCAGCGCCAAACCCACACATCATCATTCAGTAGTGGACAACTCTGATCAAAGTGCGTCACAAACACCCCAGCCAGAAGACTTCATGATGTCTTCGCATTTGATTGCACTGGGTCCAGTCCAATGCTGTTTCCACTGCTCAAGACTGCTGTTCATCACTTCTCTCCGAGTTCTCTCCTTTGTGCCAAAGTCTTTGTCTCTCACAGTGAACTTCAACTTCTCTCCGATGGCAAAGTCGGCAATCCTCAACTTGACCATTTCAAGTGATGCATTCGAGTAAGAGTACCTTGTGCCGCCTTCTTAGTGCCTGCCTCCGGACGTGACTAGGACGACTATGAGCGGCAAGGGCTCCAGCCAATTCAAAAAGCGATGAACGTCTTACATACATGTCTACCAACTATATATATATATACATATGTGTGTGTAAATGTTTGCTAATACCAATGCCATCCAATGCCTATGCCTAACGTACTGTCATATTGTTGATTTGCTATGATTTGCTGGGATTACCAGGTGGCAGGCAAGGGTCTCGCGCTCTTCCTTCCACTCAGGATCCAGACTTTCGGGCAAAGCTTTGGTCTGCCATCTTGTTCTTGGCTTGCCTACCAGGAAGGTCATTGGAAAATCTGAGATGGAACACTCCAGAATTTGTTCTGACACTGCCATTCTCAGCGAAGCTGACCATGACCGAAGCAGTTGGAGCAGAGCTGGCTGATCTTGCATGCTGCCTTCCACTTCAACTTGGCAGTAGGGATTGGAATTGGAGAAGTGCTGATCTGGGCTCTTCAGGTTCCTGGGATGGCAAGCGGGGTCTCATTGCCCTGTCGTGCACACAGTCGTGGGGACAATAACGCTAATGGTAATCTGACATCCGACATTGTCCATGAAAGTGTAAATAAAATTTTTTCCACACCAAGCCCGGCGTCTTGCCGTTTGCTACCAGGATCTTCACTCGCCGCGTCACAAAATCCGTTCCTCAGCTCGCACTGCGCGTCCGGATGTATACAAATATATATATATATATCATTGTATTTTGGGCGTGTGGGTGTTAATCAACTAGATTGCTGTGAACGCAACTGTTGACCACCTATGACATCCTCATGGCGTTCGAAAATGTAGTGCATATGTACAGGAGGGCTTGCTGTACACGTTCCGTATAATGTTTCCGTACTCTGGTTTCACTGCCATTAGCACCCCCCATGCCTGGATGATCTTGATCTTCCATGCAACTTGAATATACGAGAGTTGTGTGACAAGAAACGTGCATGTATATTTTGCCGCGAGATCTGCAAATCTCTACTACAAAGCGAAACGATGCGGGCTTTACATATATACATACTCGGCTCTACACAATTAGCTTGAGTGGAAATCAATGGCCACGCTCAGAGGGTCAGTCTCAGTACATCTTCAGCACGAAAATGCACGAAATAGTATCAAAATTGAGCTTGCATGTTTGTGGCTGTGATTTCAATTGATATGGTTGTGCAAATAGAATCTCTTGGCTTAGTGTGGAACCTTTCGACGAAACATTCGGGGAATGTTCACCACCTTCGTTCCTGCCATGAATTTCTTTCGCCATGCCATTGAGAATATTCTGTTTGTTCACGGGAATGATCTAGGTCGGCGTGATCGAATGAAATGCTTTCTGCCAGTCTACAATAATAGCTTGGTAAGTCTTCGTTGTCGAGCAAGTCGACTGGATCGAACGATGTAGGACCTTGATAGGGTTTTCATCCTCATCGTGCTCTGGTGTGACGGTTTGGATTAAAGGCTCGTTTCCTGTGGAATCGGCCTTCTTTCCTACATCTCCGGATCGTCCGGCGTGTCGATATAACATAACTACTCTTCTTGATTGCTTCGACCTCATCCACGACGACACCTCCCTTGTCATCACCGGATTCCCGATCATAACCCACTTCCCCTTCATCGGCCGAAGGTGTATAGACTTCTTCCTCAGCGGCTGATGGTTTGGGATTCTTGACTGCGAAGGGTTCTTTCTTGCCGTCATCATCATTCCAGCAAATCACCGTTGGCATATCCAAGACCATTGTCTGAGCTTGTCGCTACTGTTGTCGGACCTAGCTCCTCTTTGATCTCATTCGCCATCTCCTGGATTTCGATGTCTTTGCTTTGATCATTCGATCCTTTGGCTGTCTCATCAATCATCTCCACATCGTCATCTTCGGATGCTTCGGGAGGTTGATATTAATATGGATTTCTTCACACCACAGCTCATAAAGGTTCCTCTGCTATTCAAGCAAATGCATAGCGATCCTGGCGTCAATGTCATACATGCTGGGCATAGAATGTTCCGTCTTGTTCTCAGGAAACCTTGATCCATGTTTCTTCTCGCGTCAATGAAGTCGAACGTCACCAGATCTCCAAAGCTTTCAACTTCCGTTTGAATGCACCTCGGTGGGTATTTCATTTTCGGTCTGATACTGGATTCGCAATATAATAGGGGCTCTTGTAGCGATGAGTGAGTAGATGATTGATGGTCTTAGCTTCTGCATTCAATGTCCCTCTTCTCACTAACCTGTTGCTCCATCAACAACATCAACTTCAAGGTCATCAGCATCCTCGTCCTCAACATCTCCAGGTTCTGCTTCATCGGGTTCAATATTCTCGTCGTCTTCTCCTGGAGCTGCCTTTCACCTCGAAGTTTATGCCTCTTCCTTTTCTGTTCCACGATGACGTTCTCTTGATGGTCTTCATGATGGCATTGACACTTCCCTCTCATGCTCTTTGCCGTTATCGGTCGGGGATAGCTGCAAAGTATTTTCCCCACTGTCTTTCACTACGTACTTGTGAACTGGAGAGATCATTTATGGTGTGCCATCGGCTGGGCATATGAATGAATATCCTTCTTCCATGCACTTTTTTCGCACTGACAAAATTAAAACCGAAGGTGATTCCTCCGTCACATAAGGAGCGCAAGTCATGTCAAACGCTTCAAAAATGAAGATGTGCGACGGTGGATGTTTGGGCTACACCATTGGCGGTGTAAAATAACATAGGGTTGTCACTTTCTTCACTCTGTAATCCGAGCTTTTTGGCTCTATTCTTCGACACCAAGTCGTGTCCACATCCTGTGTCCATGTAGACTGTGATCCTCGTGCAGGTATCGATAGTGTTTGCACGCTCCCTTTGACCCCTTCTTTCCACATATATGCGGAATCAAACGATGGTTGAACACAAGTCCTTCTTCATCATCAAAACGCATTGCGATGGAGATATCACCAACAGGAATGTGAACCTCCCTGTTTTCCGTGAAGGGAATCATCAGCATAGCTCTAGCTCTGCAACTTTGGCATCAAACTTGCTCTGTTCCCTGGCTGATTTCTCATTGAGTTCTTGCGCTTCATCTCTTGATATCGGGCCTCAATGGTTTCTTGACCACTCGTCTCCAAACAATTCTTTCTGAATATACAGCTTCCACAAGAATAATCTCACCAACATCATCATTGATAGACATTTTCTTCTTGTCATTAGTGAAGATTCTCTTTGTGACACTGGCTGCAAGCCCTTCATCATCTCAGACCCTTCCATAAGACCATGTTGACCTATCGCCGGTGCACCAGGTTTCCCTTTGGGCTTAGGCTTAGGTTTTGGCTTTGGTTTGCCCTCGTTCTCATCTGCTGCAGCTGGGGGCTTTCTCTTCGGTGCAGCTTTGGGATCATGATGGAGATTTGTCATCACGTGACTGAGAACGTGGCTTCTTGTGCCTGTATGGACAATCTTTTCCTTTGGCGCATTCTCCTTTTGCGAAGAGCTTGCATGGGGTTTTCTTCTTGTCCACACTGGTGCTCCTACCTCTTGGCGTGTCTTTGCCTTCACCTTTTCCCTTTCCCTTCTTATTCTTGTCCTCAGGATGTTTCTTGATATTCGGCCTTGGCTTTGCTGATGCAGCTTCTTCTTCAGGCTTTGCTTTCTTCTTGGGATTAGGATCAACGGGCATAGCTTTACCTTTGGGTGCAGGAACTGTAGGTTTCAGGCCTGGGGAAATGTTTGCTACCTTCTTCACGGCCCTTTCCTTCTCAGCAATCACCTTGTCTTCGGTCTGCCTTTCAATGTATCTTCTGATGACATCACAGAGACGATTGTAGGTCTTTCTGGGATCTCCTTCACTCATGCTATTGTAAGCACTCACGTCACAAGCCATCCCTCGTGGCGAACATCACTTGGCCTCATCCCCGCAAGGGTCTCATTGACGTACACAGCACCTCAACGTTAGATGTTGTCTTGAAGTTGAGTAGGATCAACGCAAAGGTCTCTCGCCCTTTGATGAAATCTGACGATCTTCCTTTTGCATTGAGTCTTGAAGAAACATGTATCCCATCGTCTTTCGCATCAATCACTACCTGCTGTAGTGCTGGATCTCCTGAATCTTCAAGCCTGTCCGGATCAGGGTCTTCGATGGCTTCCTTGATCCAGTCAATCCAAGGTTGCTGATCAGGATCATTGACAGCGACTATGGTTGCTTGCTTCAAACTTGCTTTCCATAGTTTCAACTCATTATATAACCTTCGGCCATGCAGGCACTACTACTTTCGATTCCTCTTTTCTGGACACCCTTTACTGACGTCGGTGAAGACGCTGCTGTTGCTTCAGAGAGTTCGGTCTTCAACTTCTCAGTCCTGGCTTCTTGATCACTGAGTTCTTCCATCTCTTGATTGCACATCTTATGAGCTTCCGTACGCTAGTCATATACTTCATCTCGCGCTGTATCCTTGACATCTCTGAGTAAGGGAATCCAGCCTGGGGCTTGATTCCTCCGATAGCATTGAGTCCCCCACCAGTATATTGCAAGGATATGGACTTTTCTATACTGTTCTCCATCTTTAGTTCGGTGCTCTCTCTCTCTCTCTCTCTCCGTAGATCTTTACACATCCTCTCATTGTCAGCGATGATTCATTCAAGGCTTTTGATCTTCGTGATTCACTCTGACTCTTCCGAATCACCAAAACCGGGCGTTCATCTAATTTTGCCCGTCTTCAACTGGAAATTAGCTTCGATAAGTGCAGCATCCATGGGCCTTCTTGGCCTTCTTGGTTTGTTCTGTTTCACGTTCTGCTATTCTGGCATTGTCCCTGGAAGCGACCTCGAGTCGATCTAGGGCCTCTCTCAATACCCTAGCTTCGTACTGTAGATGCGGGACTTTTGTCTTCTCTGCCGAAATTTACATTCGATAACCTTGTGACTCTGCATGGATTTCTGCGTCTCGTTGGCTGATCTCAGGATGGGCATTATGCTCATTAGCTCTTAATGCTGCTACATGTGCTCTGAGATGGTCGATGACTAGCTTCTCGTGATTGTGACTTGCACTAGCCTGCGACATTTCATCCAGGAGTAGTAGTTGTTGTTGTTGTTGTTCGCTCTGCAATTCTTCCTGCTCTAGCTCAGCGATCTTCCACATATTCATGTTCTCATCCTGAAGAGCAAACATTCGTCTCTGCAGTTGATCAGCTACAAGTCTCATGGCTTCATTGTCACTATTTAGCGTCTGTGCGTGCGTACTCACTGCTGTAGTATTCTGCGTCTGCTGATGAGCTTGTCCAATCGCACCACGCAATTCGTTCGACATGTTCTCCATTTTCTGATTCATAGCGTGGAGTTCTGGTTGTTCTACGTTGCTTTCTTCGGATAGTTCTCTATACCTGCCATAAATGTGACCTGGCATCTGCTCAGCAAGTCGAAGTTTGTGCTCCAGCTCTCCAATCCTGATGGTCGCACCTTCATCTTCCTGAACCATCTCTTGCAGTCTCATCTCTATGGTCTTCCCATAGTTGGACACACTCGCAAACTCTTCTTTGGATCTCTTGCAAGAACTGGTAAGCCCTATTCGGTGATCTGAGCTCTTCAAGTAGTTGCTTCTCTGCTCGCTTCTTTGTGGTCAGGGCTACCACTGATAGTTCTCATCTTCTCACTACTCTTCTTCGGGGATCGATTGTGAGTCGTTCTCGGCGAGGTAGACCTGCTGAAGGTTCGGAGATTTCTCCTCATACCTCTAGATGTTTGTCCAGATGCGCGTTCCTGGGGAACGGCCCTGTCATCTCTAGATACCACGGAATCTGTTTGCATCGTAATGATGGTTGCATCATTGGAACTTGCGCCAGTCAACCCTGAGTCAGGAGATGACTGTGACATGTTTCCTCCAGGAGCAGCAAAGGAATGTTTCACTTATTATATTCCCACAAGAACTGGACATAGTCGGTCGCAATGTCCCTTGGCCTCTCAATAGCTCATACCCAGAGCGGGTATGGCTGATAACCTGCGTGTGGGTGTTAATCAACCAGATTGCTGTGAAGGCAACTGTTGACCACCTATGACATCCTCATGGTGTTAGAGCTGCGCACACTCTTTTCCGATGGGGCGTCTTGAGCCAAAGTATATTGCGTATGTGCAGGGCTTGCTGTACACATTGCGTATATAGTGTTTCTGTACTCTGGTTTCACTGCCATTAGCATATATAATATATGTATATCTGTATGTATATATATATATACGTACATATACAGGAACTCAATGAATATCACTTGGTGTGAGATGCCTGTGGGCCCTAAGAATGAATGAGACGCCCCACACCAACAGAGGCACAGCGAGGCCAAGATAGACACCCTTCCGGAAGACATAGGAAGACTAAGTAACAAGAAGCTACTAGGAACAAGTGCATCGCTTCTAGTAACAAGTGCCTTACTAGTAGTAACAAGAAGCTACTAGTAACAAATAGCAGCCGGGAGTCTTAAGGCATCCAGCAGCCGCTTCAAGTCTCTGGGATCGAAAATGCCTGACACCGAGTCAGGAGGCTCCTGAGACGGGCCATTCACCGGTGACAGGTTGAAAGACCCCGTCTTTACCTGATGCCATGGCTACCATGAAAATCTTTGGGCCAAACATGGGGCCAAGGTCTGAAGACCTCTGGCTGTTTGATCGTCCTCTCTTGATCTCTATGCACTGCAGGGATGACAGGGTCAAATACATGATGCCATGGTTACCTTCTTCAAGGAAGGCAACGAAGAGCCTGGAACAACCAACGTCCTGCCTGAACCTCGCGCTGCAAGTCTTCTTGCAGGACTCGTGTGATGATGCGCCCAGCCACTGGGGGTGCGCCCCCCACATTGTGCCGACAAATCTGAGCCTAGCACTCTTGCAGACCCCCCACGGCTGGCTTGGTTGCTCACAGATCTCTGATCTATCCTGTCATCCTTCAAATCCACTATTCAAAAAAAGCGAACTCACATTTGCAGCTTTTGAACCAAAACCGTTGAAGCAGGTACCCTTCCGCCACTGCCTGTGGATGGCTGCTGGGAGCTGTTGGAGCCTTTGGACTGGCAGCTAAGTCCTCGAAATGGAGCCATGGAGCAACTAGGGGCTTCTTGTTCCCGGTACGAATGCTACTAGTAGTAATGCCAGGAGCCCCTACAAGTAGTCGCGTCCTTGCTACTACTAGTAGTGCCAGGAAGTAGCGTCCTTGCTACTAGTAGTCATGCCAGGAACCCCTAGTAGCGTCCTTGCTCCTGGTAGTAATGCCAGGAACCCCTAGTAGCGTCCTTGCTCCTAGTGGTAATGCCAGGAGCCCCTAGAGCATCCTTGCTCCTAGTAGTAATGCTAGGAGCCCCTAGTAGCGTCCTTGCTCCTAGTAGTAATGCCAGGAGCCCCTAGTAGCGTCCTTGCTCCTAGTAGCAATGCCAGGAGCCCTAGTAGCGTCCTTGCTCCTAGTAGTAATGCCAGGAGCCCCAGCCTAGTAGCGTCCTTGCTCCTAGTAGTAATGCCAGGAGCCCCTAGCAGCGTCCTTGCTCCTAGTAGTATGGCCAGGAGCCCCTAGTAGCGTCCTTGCTCCTAGTAGTAATGCCAGGAGCCCCTAGTAGCGTTCTTGCTCCTAGCAGTAAGGCCAGGAGCCCCTAGTAGCGTCCTTGCTGCGACCTCTTGATGAGCCCTATTCCTATTCTTCATTGGCTCTCCATATGAGCGTATCCTGCGGTCTGTTGTGGAAAGTCATCGACATAGGTCTCGCAGGATTCATCAACCTGGATACGACAAGCATCCAAACTCTCAATCCAGCTGCTCCTTTCACAATTGGTTTTAATCATAAAAGTATCATCAAATCCTGTCTCAGTGGAGGAAGTGGACACATCCAACGTCATGCAATGAAAGGTGTAGCCAATGACCACCTTCCTTCCCTATCCACCGTCGTCAACAAAGAACGGTTCGTGTCAAGAATTGGATCCATTCCGTTCCGGAACGAAACGGAGCTAACTCGGCCTAACTCGGAGCTCATGACTTTTGGTGAGCCAAGCATCAACGCACGCACCTCATGGGGTGTCAGCTTGTCCTGAGGGCAAAGCAATTCAGGGCTCACTTCAATGGATCAACCAATGTCAAAACCTGTCATAACATGAGCAGATTGTCGGTGAATTGCCCAAAACAATGAACAAAAGCGTTGAAACCAACCAATCTCAATCAGGAGCGCCTTGGCACCCAGTGCAGCCCGACTTCTAGGTGACATGAGCGACCGGCAAAATGAAAAGGAAAAAAAATGATCGTTTCTACTGAGGCTTCGTTTTTTGTTTTCCGGCTTCGCTTTTCAAGGAATTGCACCAGTTAGGCTACTATGCTCTGTTTGTTCACCAGGTGAGTTATATTACCACTAGACCTTTACAATGTGAAGTACAGCAAATGAACTTCTTTAAAAACCTACCAGTACAGCAATTTGCCAAAGGAACTTCTTACAGCACGGGGCATTTGGGGCAGGGTCTACAAAGGACACTTTTTCGTGAATTTGGGCTTCGTTTGGGGCTTCGTTTTGGCCGCATTTCATGCACTCCAAGAGGATACACATGCAAAAATCCCACCAAGAGGCTTCGTTTTTGGTTTTCCGGCTTCGTTCTGCAAGATCCCACCAAAAATGATCAATTTTATATAAAACCAAGTCGCTAGGATTTGACTGTGGCTCACATGACTCCCAGACTTCTTGCCAAGTCTCCACACTCATGCCATTGATCTTCGCGAGCCGGCTGCCAGGCCTGACGCCCTGTTTCTCTGCGGGGCTTTCTGCGACCACCTCCAAGACCAGGAGTCTCGGCGTGTCCTCCATTGGTGGGCCAATCTCATGAGGCACCTAGCTGGCACAGCTTCCTTGATCCCTGGCTTCAAATTTTGCATCGTTCCAATTGGATCCTGAACTGTCGTATTGTGGCACAATCCCTAGGAACAGGTCTTTGTGAGCCGTGCGCTGAATAGGAGACAAAAAGGAATTCAGGATGTTCAGGAATACTGGGCTTCCCATTCCCAACACAGTCCGAGTCAGCGAAGTGAATGCCATAAGCGCCCGGAGCATTGAAAACCACCGTCACAGGATCACTGTAGCCAGCATCCTCCACTCGAGCTGTTTCTGAGACATTCTTCATTTGAAGTGTGTCAACTTCCATGCAGGTAACATTCACAGAGCAACCTCTCTGCAAATACAAACCATTCCTCGAATGAAGATCTATACACATATGTAATTTTCATGAATGATCTATATTGTTGAAAATTAATTTTGCAATATGTGGAATTCTACTTTAACATGTTTAAATGATTCCCTTTTGACTCTTCAATCATCCGGCAATCTCCCCCTCTAAATGAATAATGCGCGATTTGGGACGGATTCAAGCTGATGGGGGAGGTGGGGAACCACGGGAAGTGCTTGCGCAGGGATGTAAGGAGATGGAGAGGAAGATCGACAACTACTATCCATTCTATATACTGTATATATATATATATATCAAAACTGAAACTTAGACTGCCCACGTTTTTCCAAACGATAGCATTGAAACTTAGAATACACCAAAAAAAGATTCTTGAATATGTTTGAGCCTTTTCTCCAAAACAAGGAAAACACATTCTAACTTTCAACCCTGATGCAGCTGATAGTAGATAGTGCGAGGCCATTCTCCCTTACAAATTTGGGATATATGATATATATCACAAACCTTCCAAAAGTGCATTTCTGCAATTTCCATGATCATTTATCCGTTCGAAAGTGATGAATATATGTCATGGACAAAAATGAGGCGTCCAAAAGCATGTCTACTCTGAAAGGTGTTACGCATTTCCATTATTGTCTCAAGGCATTTTTCTTTTCCAAAGTGGAGAATCTATATGATGGACAAAAATAAGGCTCCCAAAAGTGCGTCTTCTGCAAGGTATGACGCATGTTCATCATGATTCATGATTATTATCACATGCTCCCTTCCAACCTCAGGATATATGTCATGGAAATTCCTGAGGCTCATATTCTTCCTTGTCCTTTTGGTTTCCTTCCCCGTCCTTTCTGTCCCAAACCTCTACCACCTCCCTTCCTTCTCATGGGCCTTCTTGAGTATACCTGTTGTGGTCATTTAATTATGCCTTGGAGCAGTGGGAATCAATTCTATCCCCTTCCATGCTTGTTTGTTTTCCCTTGCCGTTCCTATCTATTCTTGTCCACTCCTTTCCCTTTGTCCTGTTTTGTGTTTGCCTTCTCCGATTCGCTTCATAAGGCATTCCAAGTACACAACTTTCCCATGCTGATGTATGCTTTCGAGCAGGTGCATCCAAACTGCGCCCTTCATCCTTCTTTTCTGGTGGGTGTTCCTTCAAGCTCTTTCAACCCCAACCTACCATTTCCCTCCGTCCATGCGTGTTCTCGTTTTTGTTGTTCCCTTTCTTGCCTTTTCTATCCCCTTTTCCCTTCCTGCCCGTCTTCTGGCCTATTCTACCCTTTGCCCTTCCTTGCCAGTGTGTGAATAACCTTGTTGACATTCTGTTTGTTGTAAGGATATCCATTAATGACAGCTTTCCCTTGCCATTCCCCCCTTTTCCTCCACAAGCTCCTGGACACTGTCTAAGCATGTGTTTCCTTTCGAGTCGTGACATTCAATTTGTGGCCATTGTCTAGGGGCTCCTGGCATCGCTACTAGGAGCAAGGACGCCACTAGGGGCTCCTGGCCTTACTACTAGTAACAAGAAGCTACTAGGGACATACTGTGGCCATTGCCCTTCTTTTCGTTCCTTCGACCTTTTCCCGTACTTTCCTTTCTTCACATCCTGGCCATTTTGCTGTTGTCCAAAAGTCTCGGCAAGCTGTCCAAAACCAACCATAAACGCCAGGCATCAAAAAACAGCATTCCAAGTTCATGTGCATGTGCATGAACTTGGTCCATTCCATGATTACAGGTAAGAGGTATCCACCTGCAAAAATATCCAAACATCAACTTGAACCGGTGGCGTCAAATCATATCAAACACATTCCAAGTTCATTTGGCCATGCATGGCTGTGGTGGGTTCCACAACCATCTGAAAAACAGGCTTATAATTTCAGAAGGGATTGTCATGGGGGGTGGGTTTTTAATTCATAGGTTTTTCAATCATTTTCTAGTTAAGGAACATGAAAAGCCTGCAGAGGATCAAAAAAAACAAGAAACAATTTTCTGAGACTTTCGACGAAAATAAAGAAGTCTGCAGAGGACCAAAAAAA